TCTCTCTCTCTCTCTCTCTCTCTCTCTCTCTCTCTCTCACACACACACACACACACACACACACATACAAAATCCACATTGTTTGATTATTATGTTAAATTCCTGTGATGTATGGATTACAGGTTAAGTCACGTGATAATATTTTTTTCCTATGTCACCACTCTCTGTAATAGTTGTGCATCTTAATTGTGTATGATCCTGTGAGGGGTTCATCTGTTCTCGTGTGAGAAAAGTGTTGATTTGCCTTTGAGGTGGAGTTTTGTGGCGCATCTGTTGCAGCTGCTGTCCTGACAGCAGAAACCCATCAGGAGCAGGAAGAAAGCTGCTGCTTTAAGAGCGGAGAACATGCGCTCAACGCACAGGTGAACAATCAACTTCTCCCTTTGTGGGCTGCAACTTTTTGTTATTGTTATCATCAGCGTCGTCTGGTCCTCGTACGCTGCAGATTCGCGTGAGAAATTGGCTCTTCAATTTGCGATCGCAATTTACAATAAAATTGCTGGAGCAAATGTCTCGCAAGAAGGCAGCCAGGGGCAAAGCGGCGAGCAGCAGCCCGTCCTCGGGCAGCCCCGCGGGGAGAAGCTCCGGCAGAGCGGCGAGGAGCAGCCCGGGGATCGTCCAGATGAACGGGGTGGTCCATCCGAGCAGACCCTCCATCAGCAGCAGCAGCGAGTTTTATGACATCGCCTTCAAGGTAGGAAGATGTTTTCAATCACGTCGGGATATGTTTAATGGAGGGGAAAATGGCACCTGTCTGTGTTTGACACCATATGGGCACTTTTTTTTTCTGAGGGGAAAAAAAAGCACAACGTGGTTACTTTATTTGGCACGTGCTGTTTTCTTTTTCTTTCAGGATTTGTGTGTTTTATTTCTTTTATTTTGTTAATCCCCAAAACCTGACAGAATCCGTACAAGTATCTATAAGGAAAGGTACAAGAAACAAACAGCACTTAATCCTTCCTGGTTCTGGCTGCTGCTGAGCATCATCTCTTCAGAAACCCTGAGTTTTACTGAGCGTCAGTTGGATGGATGAATTGTAGGAACTGTCACTTCACAGCGACACAAACACAGATTCACACCCACAGATTCTCATTGTGTTCTGCTTCGAGTGATTTGTGCCACCTGCTCTGCGTTTCTGAAGCAACAGTTTGGTGCAACAATGTCTTTGTTTTGCTTTTCCAAATTAATACATGACTTTCTGCTTTTTTTATTTTATTTTTTTACAGTCTGAGCTCATCACACTATTTTTTTCTTCATCTTTTTTTGACTTTGAAAGAGACTTTGACAGACAAAGCATTTTTACTGTTAGATAAAATTCAGCTTTGCAGGGAGATGTGATGAATAAAATGTTGGAAGACTTTTTTATAATCTTACTAATGGGGAAAAAACTATTTTTTCTCAAATAAATTCTTGCACTACTTCTATCACTTGGTGTGTACTGCTGTTGTTGGAAATACTGTTTTTTAATTCAAAATAATCCTAAAATGGAACAAAAGCGTAATGCATAAAGGCTCATATGTCATGCTTGGAGCATGTTTTGTGAATGACTCTCAGCTACTATTACATCAAATTTTTGATAACTGAGTTATAGTCATGCTTGTATAGGCTAATTTTGATCAGCCGTGGCGGCCATCTTGAATTGGGTTGATTCCAAAAGATAAACAGGTGTAGATGTTGTGCATCCAATAAATGTTTTTACAGTTGTTGAAAATTTCCTTTTGGGTAGGGATGCATGATATATCTGCATCAGTATCGGCCAGTATTGGTCATTTTTTTAGAATATCTTTTTTTTTTTTTAGAAAATCTGTGGGCCGATATTAACATCCAATATTTATTTCCCACTTTTTAGCTTTGTGTTTCTGTTTTGGGAGATGAAATGTTTGGTCGAGTGGCATCTGTTTCATCGTGATAGTGATATTGATGCTGCACAGGAATAACTGAAGTAGGGAGCCACGTCAGAGGTCAGGTTGTTTATTTACAGTATCAAAAAATACCCAAGTTTGTTTGTGTGTATGTGTATATAAATAGTGTTTTTGTGTAATATTGGTAAATATTGGTTATCTGCCATAACAGCAATAATTATATCGGATATTGATATCGGATGAAATTTTCATATCTGTGCATCCCTACTTTTGGGGTTATTAAAGTGTGATTCCAATCAACACCTGTCCAGAGGTTTATGAAATATTTTTCTAACAGACAAACAGGAGTTTTAGGCATAAATCTCATACAAAAAGTAGCACTCAGAGTATCTTGTTTGTTTATTTTGTGGGTTTGATATCTGTAAAACATGATTGAGTTATGCCTCTTTTTTGATGTCCTATGTTCAGTTGGCCGTGGCAGACATATTGAATCGGGCTGACTTCAAAAATCAATGACTTGTAGACGTACATTTAATGATCAGTTCCTGAAACTTTTAGTTAAATCCCTCTAGTCATGAGATATTTTGGTAACAGACACACTCACACACAGACAAAGGCAAAAACATCATCGTCCGCCCTCACTTTTCCGCTGTGGCAGACAGAAATGAATGTTCTACTCAGTAAAAACAGGTCGAGACTCACTGAGCTTCTGGTTTCTGAGCCTGTTCCTGTGTCTCTTTATTCTCCTTCCTCTGTCTTTCATCTCCTGTCTGCTGCTCCTTCAAAACCAGGAGCCACTTTTGATTTTCATATATAGGTCCAACAGTCTCTCTGCTAACCTGATAACTGTAATCTCATCAAAGCTTTAATCGAATCACAACCCTGAATAAAACCATGCAGAGCTGTATGTGGAGAGAAGCAACACAATGCATGTTCGTTAACACACAGGAAGGATCTCTGTGCTGCTAATCATGTTCTTTTTTTTTCCTTTTTTTTGAAGACTTTGGTTTTTTCTTTTTATAATTGTATTATGTTAGTCCTAATTAACTTTTTTTTTCCTTATGCAGGTAATGCTTGTTGGTGACTCCGGTGTGGGGAAAACCTGTCTCCTGGTTCGATTTAAAGATGGAGCTTTTCTTGCCGGCAGCTTTATCTCCACTGTGGGGATCGACTTCAGGGTAAGCTCAACTCAATCGACAAAATAAATAGAAAAAAAATTACAAATTCCTCTCAAACATTTTCCAATTTCATATTTCCAGGTTTAGTTTCTGCAGTGAAACTAGGGCTATCACTTTTTTTTTTCTTTTAACTGCTTTTCAGCTACTTAGCTTGAATACTTATCGGTGTCAGAACAGGTATTGATTTCTTAAAATAGTTTGACACGCTTTAGATTTGTCGCCTCAGTGGGGGGAAACGATTTCATGTGCCAGTTTTGTGTGGTCCCACATGGGCAGATGGAAGAACCATCTTGATCCATTAAAGTTTTTAGACACGTGTTTGTCTGCGAGACACAGAGATGAAGCCATTAAACCTTATTGCTGATCAATTTAAACTTTAACCTAAATGCACACTTAGAATCATTATAATTATTTTATCTTTATTTAATGTACTGTGCAACAAATCACTAATTAAAATACAATTCTGAGTAAATTCTGTATCTTCAGGTTGATATTTAATTTTAAAGGGCGAACATTCAGGGTTTGGTGACATCTAGTGACAGGAATGTCCTGATGCATCTCAGTAATCCAGGTAAAAAAATCAAAGGAAAAAAATTGTATAGGTCCTCTGGACGGGTTCTTCTTTAATGAAACGTTTCGTCTCTCTTCCAAGAGACTTCTTCAGTCTGAGAGTTTCAGGCAAAATTCAGGCTTTTATGTCCTCCCTCCAGGTGACTGATACTCACATCACGAACGATGGTCATGTGATGTGAGTATC